CCGAACCTCTCTTCCAGCTGGTTTAGTGTTTCTGCCTTAAATTTAGATCTTTAATCCACTTCAATTTTAGTTTAGTGTATGGTGAAAGATAGGGGTCTAGTTTTAATCTTTGTCAAGTTGAAATCCAGTTTTTCTAGCACCGTTTATTAAAGAGGCTATCTTTCCTCCAGTGAGCGTGTTTGTCTCCTTTGTCAGAGATGAGGTGGCTGAATGTGTCTGGTGTTTTTGTTTCTGTTTCTTCTAATTTGTTGCACTGGTTCTCAGTTCTGTTTCTTTTTTCCAGTATCATGTTGTTTTATCATGGTAGCTTTGTAGTATAGTTTCAAGTTGGGAATTGTGATACCCCCTAACTTCTTCTTAGTGCCTAAAATTGCTTTTGCTATTCCAGGTCTCTTCTTGTTCCAAATGAATTTTTGGATTGTTTTCTCAAGGTCTGTGAAGTATGCTACTGGGATTTCAGTTGGGATTACATTGAATCTATATAGCAGTTTTGGAAGTATGGCCATTTTCACTATGTTGATTCTTCCCTAAAGAATAAAAATAATCATACCATAGTGATATATATGCACCCATGTTCATAGCAGCACAATTCATGATAGCTAAAACTTGGAAGCAGCCCAAATGCCCATCAACAGGAGACTGGATAAAGAAAATGTGTGTGTGTGTGTGTGTGTGTGTGTGTGTGTTTATAAAATGGAATGCTTCTCAGCCATAAAAAAGAAGAAATTAGAGACATAGCTAAATGGATGCACATTCATGTGATACTCTTAAGTGATATAAATAGGACACACATGTGTAAATACTGAATAGATTATCTAGTGTGAGAAACTGAAAGTGTAAATAATGACTAAAAGGTATAGTAGATAATGTGAAATAGGAAGAAAGGGGACAAAGAGGAAGGGGAAAGGGGAGGAGTAGGGGAAAGGAAAGAAGGGAATGGAATTAATATAAGAAAATGAAAAATAATGGAAACAAAATATGTGTAGATAAGGAGGTAGGGAGGGCTTGAAAGGAGGGTAGGGGAGTGGGGGAAAATAAGAACCAAGGTTGATTATGAAAAGGTACAAATTTCCAACAATGATTGTCATTGTATTGTATACATTAGATGTATAAATAAAATCAATTAAAAAAGAAAAAAGAAAAAAACTCCATTGCTGTAAAAAAATAAATACAATAAAAGTAACATATAAGTGCTCATTGTTAATTTTATTTATTATACTATGTAAAATTCCTAACATATATTCAGTTATATAGGATATTTTATTCTTCATAAATATTATAATTGGGAATTCTATATTCTACCACATATAATATTCTATTAAATTGTACCATGTTCTGTAACTGACCTTTTATATCAGTTGCATATTATATATTAGTCTTTATTAGTGGCTAAATCTGCACAGCATCTCTGAAGATAAATTTGTTTTATATCTAGCAGTTTTAATCAACATTTGGAATTGTTTTCTAGGTTCTCTGTACAAAAAATTCACATAATCTGGCTGTCGTGTCCTAGCTATGGTTCTTTGGTAAACATCCTGAAGTCTCAGTTTCTTAAAGTTGAAAATAGTGCTAGCAAGCATTTATTTAAAATAGAGCAAATCTGCACTGATCCGGTGAGTTGAGTGCACCGTGCCTGAGTTATAAGGGGACAAATAGAGAGTGCTGTGATCTTGCACATAGATGATGTCAGGGAGGACTGGAGCCCTTGGCTGGCTGTCCCTGACAAGACTCATCTTATACCAGTGTGCCCTAAAAATATTATCAATTCCTCTGATTCATGACAAAAACCTGGCTGTGCAGAATGGAGAAAGACATTGCATCTGAAGCATTGAGTACTAGGCCAGGTATGTGGCAGGTTCATTCTGCGGTTACAGAAGGCCACAGTGACATCCGATAAGAAGGAAAAGGAAAATTATTTTTTTGCTTTGGTTATTTTATTTCTTGTACAAGTGGAATTGGAACTGGTAATAACCTTACAAATTTGAGACAAGAGGCCACATGGCTTGCAAGTGCTGTCCATGTACCTTGGAAGTCCTGGTACTGTGGGAAGGGTGTTGATCTTGGAGCCAGGAAACTAGTGTAACCAGCTGTCCTACTGTGCCAAGAATGAAGGGCTCTGCAGGACATAAAACATCGATGCTTTTAAGAGATTCCTCACTTTGACTATATGAGTTGATGATCCTGAGTCAACATTTTTCTATTGTTAAATGGGAAAAACTCAGCCAAATACCTGTAGGTATTTTTATTATACAGGAAACTATGTGAAATCCACAAGAAGTACACAACAAAAGTTATACATTCTCTACTACCCATCTTCCCCAAACCCACCCCATAGAGGCACAGGAATATTGTGTCTGTGTAAAAGCCACAAGCTATGGAAAATTTTACAGCTTCAATTTTATCATCTATTAAATAA